ATAGGGAGACCACCCCCAGCGCACCCCCTGTGGTGTCGAGGAAGTGCCACGCCTGCCACGCTTTGCGAGCCCGAAACGGATAGCGTCCCCACCCACAGCTCCCCCCCTGTGGTGTCGAGGAAGTGCCACGCCTGCCACGCTTTGCGAGCCCGAAACGGATAGCGTCCCCACCCACAGCTCCCCCCCTGTGGTGTCGAGGAAGTGCCACGCCTGCCACGCTTTGCGAGCCCGAAACGGATAGCGCCCCCACCCACAGCTCCCCCCTGTGGTGTCGAGGAAGCCACGCCTGCCACGCTTTGCGAGCTAGCCTAGCGTCCCCACCCACAGCTCCCCCCCTGTGGTGTCGAGGAAGTGCCACGCCTGCCACGCTTTGCGAGCCCGAAACGGATAGCGTCCCCACCCACAGCTCCCCCCCTGTGGTGTCGAGGAAGTGCCACGCCTGCCACGCTTTGCGAGCCCGAAACGGATAGCGTCCCCACCCACAGCTCCCCCCTGTGGTGTCGAGGAAGTGCCACGCCTGCCACGCTTTGCGAGCCCGAAACGGATAGCGTCCCCACCCACAGCTCCCCCCCTGTGGTGTCGAGGAAGTGCCACGCCAGCCCGAAACGGATAGCGTCCCCACCCACAGCTCCCCCCTGTGGTGTCGAGGAAGTGCCACGCCTGCCACGCTTTGCGAGCCCGAAACGGATAGCGTCCCCACCCACAGCTCCCCCCTGTGGTGTCGAGGAAGTGCCACGCCTGCCACGCTTTGCGAGCCCGAAACGGATAGCGTCCCCACCCACAGCTCCCCCCCCTGTGGTGTCGAGGAAGTGCCACGCCTGCCACGCTTTGCGAGCCCGAAACGGATAGCGCCCCCACCCACAGTTCCCCCCTTCTGCGGTCTCGATGAAGTGCAACGCCTGCCACGCTTTGCGAGCCCGAAACGGATAGCGTCCCCACCCACAGCCCCCCCCCTGCGGCGTCGAGGAAGTGCCACGCCTGCAACGTTTTGCGAGCCCGAAACGGATAGCGCCCCCACCCACAATTCCCCCCCTGTGGTGCCGAGGAAGTGCCACGCTTGCCACGCTTTGCGAGCCCGAAACGGATAGCGTCCCCACCCACAGCTCCCCCCTGCGGTGTCGAGGAAGTGCCACGCCTGCCACGCTTTGCGAGCCCGAAACGGATAGCGTCCCCACCCTCAGCTCCCCCCCTGTGGTGTCGAGGAAATGCCATGCGTGCCACGCCTGTGCCACGCCTGTGCTGTGCTGTGCTGCGTTGTGTGTTGTGCTGTGCTGTGCTGTGCTGTGCTGCGGTGAGCTGTGCTGTGCTGTGCTGTGCTGTGCTGTGCTGAGCTGAGCTGAGCTGCGCTGTGCTGTGCTGAGCTGAGCTGTGCTGTGCTGTGCTGTGTGCTGTGCTGTGCTGTGCTGTGCTGTGCTTTGCTGCGGTGAGCTGTGCTGTGCTGCGCTGTGCTGTGCTGTGCTGAGCTGAGCTGAGCTGAGCTGAGCTGTGCTAAGCTGTGCCGCGCTGAGCTGAGCTGAGCTGAGCTGTGCTGAGCAGCGCTGCGAGGAGGAGGGGAAGTGCGAGGTGAGACGCGGGTGCGACGCGGCAGGGAAGAAAACCAGAACCCCACTAAGCACGCGGGGGATAAAGGTACAAACATGCGACCCACAATTCCGAACAAGGCTTCCACTTCGCGCCTGCGCTGGCGCCGACAATCTTCGTTTGACAATGTGCGCAATTAGTTGCCACATTTGGTCGCCGTTCTGCCCATTGCAATCTGGTGGTGGTGCGTCAGATACGCCGACCCCCCCCCCAAAAAAAAAAAAAAAAGTACTCCGACGGTGGGACCCCGCACGATAATCTGTTTAGCTTACCCTTTGCCCTTTCCTCTTCCTCCTGGCGGACACCCTCTCCTCTCGCCCCCTGCACTGCCCTCTCTTCCCCTTTCTATTTCTCTTCCTCCTCCTCTTTCTCCTCCTCCTCCTCCTCCTCCTCCTCCTCCTCCTCCTCCTCCTCCTCCTCCTCCTCCTCCTCCTCCTCCTCCCTCCTCCTCCTCCTCCTCCTCCTCCTCGCGCCACCTCCTCCTCGTCGTCGGCCTCCCCCATGCCCCTTCCCTCCTCATCCCCCTGCCTTTTCTCCATGTGCACCTCCCCTTCCCCCTCGTCGGGGCAAGCAAATCCATTTTCCTCAGCGCCGTCGCCGCCTCGGCCAGCGCGCGCGCGTCTGCCGACGGCTAGATCGCGAAGCCGTCGGGACAAACCTTCGGGCTGGGCCGTAGGGCAACCTCGCAGGCCGCCGGGGCGTGGGAGCTAGCCGCTGGGACAACCCCGCGGGCCTCCAGGCGCGCGCCGCGGCGCTCAGGCGGGGGGCAGCATGAAGCCCAGCTCTGCCGCGAGCTGCTCCGCCTCAGCCCTGGAGTCCACCGCTCTCTTGTCGAACTCCTCGAGCGCCTTCCGCAAGGACGCCGGCGGCCCGCGCCCCAGGAACTCTCGCGCGGGCGGCCGCAGGATCAGCATGTTCCGCACGCACGTGGCGCGGGAGAACATGACGTAGAGGTGCAGCCACCACATATCGTCCGACATGCCCGTGCGGCCAGCGTCCCCATCCCTGGCGCAGTCGATGGCGACGCCCTCGCGCAGCGTCTGGCCCTGCGACAGCGTGGAGGTCAGGTAGGACGCGTGCGTCAGTGTGAATCCCGAGCGGCGCACAGTGTGCGCCCCCGAGCTTTGCCACGTGAACTCCTGCTCGCTGGGCCTGAACATGAGCAAGCTCCTCGCCCGCGCTCCGGCCTCGCCGTCGTCGGCAGCGCCATCGGCGCCCTGCTGCAGCACCTCGGCGACCTCCTTGTAGATCGGGGGCTCCTGGAAGCCGTGCACCTGCAGCCAGATTCCCTGCGGTAGGTAGCGGGGGCGGAAGAGCTGGCCCGGCGCGCACTCCTCGTAGTCCCGCTCGTCGTCTGCGTGAAACTCGATGGACACGATGGTGGCCCATTGCTCCTGCACGAGCCCCAACTTCTTCTTCAGCTCCTCCTGCACGGCCGTGAACCGGACCTCCATGCCGACGCGTGCCGGTAAGACGCCGTGGATGTCCCCCGTCTTGTGCAAGTTCGGGACGTTCAGGAGGCGCCGGCCTGCGTCTGGGTCGCCTTGAATCGTGCCGCACTCGACTACGGCCTCACAATTCACTCACAGACGAGGCTCCCGCCTGATACTTCCTCCATATTCAGGCCTCAAGAGCCCAAAAGTGACGACAGTTACACGTTACGGATGACCCGCTCGGATTCGAACATGAAGTGCGGGCCCCATAGGGAGGGGGCTCCCGCCTGAGACTTCCTCGCAATTCACTCACAGACGAGGCTCCCGCTCGAGACTTCCTCCATATTCAGGTCTCAAGAGCCCAAAAGTGACGACAGTTGCACGTTGCGGATGACCCGCTCGGATTCGAACATGAAGTGCGGCCCTATAGGGAGGGGGCTCCCGCCTGAGACTTCCTCACAATTCACTCACAGACGAGGCTCCCGCTCGAGACTTCCTCCATATTCAGGCCTCAAGAGCCCAAAAGTGACGACAGTTACACGTTGCGGATGACCCGCTCGGATTCGAACATGAAGCGCGGGCCCCATAGGGAGGGGGCTCCCGCCTGAGACTTCCTCACAATTCACTCACAGACGAGGCTCCCGCCTGATACTTCCTCCATATTCAAGTCTCAAGAGCCCAAAAGTGACGACAGTTACACGTTGCGGATGACCCGCTCGGATTCGAACATGAAGCGCGGGCCCCATAGGGAGGGGGCTCCCGCCTGAGACTTCCTCGCAATTCACTCACAGACGAGGCTCCCGCTCGAGACTTCCTCCATATTCAGGTCTCAAGAGCCCAAAAGTGACGACAGTTGCACGTTGCGGATGACCCGCTCGGATTCGAACATGAAGTGCGGGCCCCATAGGGAGGGGGCTCCCGCCTGAGACTTCCTCACAATTCACTCACAGACGAGGCTCCCGCCTGATACTTCCTCCATATTCAAGCCTCAAGAGCCCAAAAGTGACGACAGTTACACGTTTCGGATGACCCGCTCGGATTCGAACATGAAGTGCGGGCCCCATAGGGAGGGGGCTCCCGCCTGAGACTTCCTCGCAATTCACTCACAGACGAGGCTCCCGCTGATACTTCCTCCATATTCAGGCCTCAAGTCAGCGAGTAGTGATGATGATGATGATGATGATGATCGTTCGATGCCGATGATGGTGAGTGATCGTGGGATGGTGATGGTGATGCTGATGGTGATGATGATGATGAGTGGGGAGTGATGGTGATGGTGATGATGATGCGGAGGAGGAAGCAAAGAGGAGCAGAGGAGAGGGAGGAGGAGGAGGAGAGATCCTGCGCGGAGGGTGTGCAGAGAAAACAAAAACCCCACTTAAGATGTGGGGAAAGAAGTGTTTCGCGACAACCCGCAAATACACCATGTAAGCGTGATGTTGCTTATGCAGACGCACACCTCAATGATAATGCGCAGGCGGCATGATGTAACGAATGTTCCGACCTACCGCCGACGCAATAATCCAACCCAGTTTTACGGCGGAAGAGACCAGCCCGCAGTAGTGATGTGAGATCCATGTCTACATGTTATACACCACAAATATCTATAAACACAACTATATACATACATGTACATATGCATGTGTATATATATGTATATATATACATGCATATGCATATATGTAGGTACGAATGTAAATGTACATATGTATATACATCTCCACATACACAAACCTATACATATACACATACAAATGCCTATGCATATACATAGACATACACATATACGTGTGCACAGACGTATACATATGCATATGCATAAACATATACATATACATAGACGTATGCACATGCAAATGAATATACACATACGTTTACCTCTATATACATATATATATATGTGTGCTTATACATAAACATATACGTATACAAATACATAACATGAAAATATACATATACATAGATGTACATGGGTAGGCTGCGGACCGGTGACCACGTTCAAGACCGCGAAATACACAAACGCGATGTACGATGTGAACAAGGAAGTCGGGAGAATCGAGATGCCCTGCAACGGAGTGGCGGGTTCCCGCCAGCTAACGCCACCAGAGATCGCCTGGAAAAGCGTGTACATGCTCACATCCAGAGATCCCCATTCTCCAAGCAACGTGTCCTCGTTGACCTGGCCAAGGTCATCCGTCACTTCGACGAAGTACAACGCCTCTCCTGTGAACGCAAGACCGAACACATAGATGATCATCAAAATCAATACCATGGCCCACATTAACGACTTCATCGTCGCCAAGATCGAGTACACCAGCGTGCGGAGCGCCGCGATGAAGCGAATGAGGCGGTGCAGGCGGAAGGCGCGCGTGAGCCGCACCAGGCGGGCGAGTCGCACGTTCCGGAACACCGCGGCCCCTGGCAGCTCCTCATCCTTCGAGTAGGGGATCGACTACAGGATTGATTTACCCTAGAATTGATTTGTTCATCGAATCTACGAAAAATCGTAGAACACTCGTCGATCTACAAACAAGATTCGTACTTGTTGGTAGATTCGACGAGAGAATCAATTTGGGGGTCAATCGATCTTGTAGTCGATCACCTACTCGAATCCTGGTCAACAACAATAGAAATCACGTCCATTGTCATCTCGAGCAATCCCATCAACACCACCAGCGTGTCTGTCCACGCCCAGAACACCTCTCCCCTCACGAAGAAGCTCGTGAATCCGAGCCGCCATACGCGCGCCAGCAGCTCCACCAGGAACAGCACGGTGTACGCGTGGCGCACGACCACGAAGACGGCCGGGAGCTCTTCTCCGAGATGGACGCTGCGGTACTGGACCTCCACGCCGCTCACGAGCGCGTTTGTTCCGATCAAGACCCCGAAGAAGAACTCGAACGTCTGGCCCATGGTCTCGTTTTGGAGGCGGCCGGGGGGTCTGAACTTGATGGGGCCCCAGACAATCGGCCAGAAGGGGGGATGAAGCCAAGTCCGCTCAAAATCGGTCCCCAAACCCCTCCCTGGGTCCATCTGGTATGGTTTTTCACGTTGGATCCGTTTGTCAGTCCGGGGGCCGCAAAACGGCCCCCGGAGCCCGAAAAGTTGAAAGAAACCCTTTCCGAACCTAGAACCTCGAAACTCGCCGCCCCTTCCTGCTGGCCAGAGCCAGTGCCAGGCCACCTCAAACCCCCTGACGGCCCCATGGCCTCGTTGGGGTTCGCGAAGACTCTGCCGTGGCGGGACGCCGACGAGCGGGCCATCATGGCCGCCTCCTGCTGCTTGTCTCTGGCCTTCGCCGCGGCCTCGAAGACGCTGTCGTGTTTGCTACCCACGCGCCACCACTTATCCTGCCGAGGAATGAACAATTCTGTGGCAACTCATGGGCGCCTCCCGTACCATCTTGTTGGCTCGTGCGAATCGACGCTCATCGACACTAATCGGCACCAAATTGACGCTAGTCGACGCTAGTCGACGCTTATCGACGCTATTACACGCTAAATCGGCGCTATCTCATCGACTACCAGGCGCTAATCGACGCAAGTGCGCTCTAAAGACGGAAGTGCGACAGTACACGAGCTTCCCGCGATATGCTACCGAACAACAAAGACATAAACATAAACTGTTGGAGGTCCGCGCTGATTCAGTGGATCGGCGACCCCCTCATTGGTGCGCAGAGCCACAGTAGGCAACGCCGGCGGCGCCGTCAGGAAACTCCAGCGCCGATTCGAGAAATCCGCGCGGACCGCCGAACGTTTATGTGTGTATATATATATATATACACATATAAAGAGGAGCATGAATTCTAGATTAAGAATCACTGAAATCTAGATTCAAGCGAAACACGCTAAGAGCTTAAGATTGACTCAGATCGAGTCAGTAACAACTAGATCGGATGTCCACATGAGACCTTACATCACGTCGACATACGAAAGCAACATGTTGTGGTTTCACCTAAATAGATATATCAATATACATGTAAATATGCATGCATACATACAGACATACAGACATACATATATACATACATGCATGCATGCATGCATACATACATACATACATATATAGAATATCCCGTTGTTCCACTTCGTACCGTCCGAAGCGACAGCCATTCAGAAAATATTGGAATACGGATTTACATGGTTGTCTCATTTTTGCCTCACCCTCCCGTTCTCTCTTACGTCGCCCTGTATTCCTCGAGGCGTTTGTCATTTCTTGTAATAATACGAGGCTTCAAATACTTCGAGGATTAAGTTTCCAGAATTCATGATATGTTTAAGACCATCGAAAAGCCAACGGTCTTTCGGAGATTTCCTGAATCGATCGGCCTTCCTGAGTTTATCTGCCCGTGTTCCACTGCGGATTCGTGGCGGCCCTGGGGCATATATGCGGCAGCACGGGATCAAAGGTTGCTAAGTTTTGCGTCGAATCCCTCCTACATGGCTAAACCTCTGCGTGGACCTCTGAATCCCACCAGCCCTTTGGGCGTGAGTGGTTTAGAGAGCCCGCTCTGTTCTCAACCCCCTTCTTCCCCTTCGGGGAGGGGTTTACCCCTCCCCCTACCCCCTCCCCCTGGACCTGGAGAGGTCCTTTCGCGGGTGGTTGGAGGGGTCTTTTTCGACTCCTGGGAGGGCTAAAAAACGACACCCCTCACGAGGATCCTGGCCCCGACGGGGGGGGGAGAAAAAACCCGCCCCATCTGTGATCGATCGCCCGACAGATGGCCCCAAGATACCTCCCAGACCCCTCCCAAAGAGCCCCAAGAGGCCCCAAGAGGCCTCCAAGAGGCCCCCAAGATGCCCCCAAGAGGCCCCCAAGAGGCCCCAAGAGGCTCCCCCGAGGCACCCAAGACGCTCCTGGAAGCCCCTGGAGCCGCCAAGAGGCCCCCAAGACGCCCCAAACGGCCTCCAAGAGGCTCCCAAGAGGCCCGAAGAGGCTCCCCCAAGGCACCCAAGACGCTCCTAGAAGCCCCTGGGGCCGCCAAGAGGCCCCGAAGACGCCCCAAAAGGCCTCCAAGAGGCTCCCAAAACGACTCACACCACGACGAGGGCCCCGAACGACTCACACCACGAGGAGCCCGAACGAGTCACACCAGGAGGAGGGGCCCGAACGACTCACACGACGACGAGGGGCCCGAACAACTCACACCACGAGAAGCCCGAACGACTCACACCAGGACGAAGAGCCCGAACGACTCACATCACGAAGAGCCCGAACGATTCACACCAGGAAGAAGGGCCCGAACGACTCACACCAGGACAAGAAACCCCAAACGACTCAAACCACGAGGAGCGCTTTCTCTCCCTCCTCCTCCGCCTCGTCCTTCTCCCGCTCCCACCACAAGGAGGATGTACAAGGAGGCGGGAGGAAGGAGGAACAGGGGAGATATGCGGGGGCAGGCGGAAACACGCCTGAAAAACACGACTGTCGGCATGCTTCGCAAGAGTTGCTGTTTTGAGATGGGCTGGTGGGGATACGCGAAGCGTAAAGAATTCAAATCACCAGTCCAACGATACTTATCGCTGGGGCACGGGCACAGAAAAATGACGACGACGATCAATCACCCATCGCTCCCTCCAACAGATGCAGGGAAGCGCTTCGGTATTGCATTCTACATGATCCAGGCAATTGCAATAGAAGACGCTGGATAGCTGAATCGAGTTATGAGGTGCGTTTTTTCGATTATGTATGCATTGGCTCAAGTCGCATTCATCTATTTCGACAGATTTGTATCATCAGTTCTTTCGGAAATAATGACCGTTATTTGTTCAATGTCTGATTTGTTCAACCATTGAAAGTCGATAGTATCGGAAACCTTCCATCACGGGAACGAGAATTCAGTTCCAGCATGTTCAAGAATATAACGACAGCCACATCGAGGAAGGCTACCATATGATACCAGACGCGCCATCATAATGCAATGTCCCATTCGAACGACCGACAAATTTGACAAGTGCTGGTTCGGCCGGGCAAATTCCAGAAGAAGAAGTCGAGCCTGGCCCGAAGAACGTACGAGGAGGTGGCAAGAAGCGCGCGTTCGAAATTGTTGAAACACCTGATTTCGACACAGAAGAAACGCTTCACCAGAACGCACGAGGCTATCTCAAAGAGCACGTGATTTGAACTACGGCGATCGCTTGCACAACAGATCGCAAAAAGAAGGCGATTGCTGCTGGCTGCGGTCGCTGCACAAACTGTAGTCAGGCGTTCGCCTTGGTTCCCACGATTTTCAAATGGTCAACGCCTCGCCTGGGACAAAAAAATCAATGCAACGTGTCGGAAGGAGGGCGAACGCAGTGGTCCACTCAATGGAAAGGAGGCACGCAATGGAATGTGCCAAAAAGTATGCGTCGCTATGCACTCCTGGCACAATGCACGGTGGAATGACCAAGGACTGAATTCCCACGGGGGTGGGCCAAAGAAATAACAAATCCAAAACATACGAACCACTGACAAGCCGCAATTGAATCGGCACCCTTTGGTTCGATCTAGAGACGTTCATGGAGAATGCGCCCAGAAACGTTTCTCGAGGCGGAGAAGTTACGCCTTCCATGCACGACAACTAACGCTGGTGAAATCCGCCGACCCTGTCGGCGTGTGTGAGGGGCTTGTCGGTTCAACTCGTCATCTCCGTCATTCGTTGGTCGTCGTCTCTGTCGTCCCCTTTCCCTGTCTCCCCCTTTCCCTGGGCCGGTCGGAACTCCCCCCTTGTCCAGGGACCTCCTCAGCGCGCCAACCAAAGCGAACTTGAGCAACGTCGTAATTGAGTCGAAGGGAAGCCCCGTCCCTTCGATCCCTCCCGCAGGGGGGGGGGTCCCCGGGGGGGGTCCTGGGGGGGGGTGCCCAGGGGGGGGATCCCAAGGGGGGGGTCAGATACGACGCCCCCCTGGGGAGCCCCGGAGCCCCAAAAAAACCCATGACGGGCCAAGAGTGCCCCAAGAGGCCCCAAAGACAGTCCAAAAGAACCCCGAATCGCCGAAACGATCTGTCCAAGAAGCCTTGACGGCCTCCAGACCTAAACAAGCTAAATCCTTCGATTCTCGTCCGTCTTCCACCGATTCTTGCGTTTTCGTTGTTTTCGCTCCCCGAAGCTCCCAGACAACCCAACAGGCCCCAAAGATCGCCCCGAGACCCCCCAAAAAGCCTACAATATTGCCCCGACACAACCCAGGAGAGCCCCAAATTGCCCGCACCTCCAAGAGTGCCTCGAGACGGCGCAAAAGGAGCCCTGGACGGCCCAAGACGGCCTCCAGAGAGCCCCAGGCTGTCCCAAGAAAGCCTCTGGCCTCCTCCTCTTCCTCCGCCTCTTCCTCCTCCTCCGGCTCCTCCTCCTCCTCCTCCTCCTCCTCCTCCTCCTCCTCCTCTTCCCCCCCCCTTCTGCTACCCCTCCTCCTGCTCTCCTCTGCCTCCTTCTCTTCCTCTTGCTTTTCTTCCACATCCTTCCCGACATTTCCTCCCTCCTCCTCCTCCTCCTCCACCCTTCCTCCACCTCCCACTCATCCTCCTCCCTCCTCGCTTGCATTTTCGTCGTTCTCAGGATCAGGGGCACCGGTTGTAGGGCCTTCGCGATAATACGCAAAGTACTGCACCGTACTGGAATGCTACCGGCTTCCACCTTCAACACAAGATAGCATGGTTTGTTAATTGGCGTTGTTGGTCCCGTCGGTCTGTGCCAAGACGAGGCGACAGGCAAACACAATATAAATTGTTATGGCGGTGTTTATGTGATCAGATTCAGAAGATGGAAAAGCGCATCGACTGATGTTGGAAGTATATGTGAACACTGCACAGGCGATTGGCATGAAACAAACCGACAAGCATTGACGTATGCAATATTTGATATTTGGAAGATATGTGTACGGAATCAAGTGGCATTCATCTCCAAAGATGGTTACCACATGTTCGAACGAATGTGAAGGCTGTAGCAAAGACACAGAATGAGGAGAGCAAAAAAAAATTGCGGCGTTTGGAACTCCTCGACTCTATCGATAAGTGCATTACATCACCCGCTTGGTTCCCTGATGGAGTCGAATGACATACTTGCTAGGCGAACGGGACAAATTTTGCCAGATACAAATTCTTGGTTTTGAACATATATACACGCGAGCGGCGCGGGCAAGCGGATTCGGCAGCTTACGCCACCAATGCAATTGAACGGAAGCCCCGCCACACGAAAGTTCAGTTAACAGCCGGCTACCAGCGGTTCAATATAGCAGAACAGGACAGCGCAGGCGCCGACGCGCGCCCAGGGGGGCGGCCCTCTAAG